AACGTTTTGCATCGCCTCATCCCGTCGCTTCTGACACAGCTGTTATGGGCAAACCTTTTTTTGATATTTGTTACTCGTGAGTGCCTTCTTTTTATCCAGGTTGCTACATATTTCTACTCTTATCCAGGTTTCTATATATATATATCGACTATATAATTGCAATTTTGGAAACGGGGAATGCTTAAAAATAATTGTCCATTTGACACTACATTTTTTTAAACATAAACTAGGAGGTAAGGGCGATTGAATATTCTGCAGGAACAAGCAGTACTTGCAGGGTAAAAAATCCTCGTATTACACTCCTGTATAAAAATGAAATATCCCAAAAGGGAAGATCTTACGCTAGGCTTTTTATCACTCAGTTTGACGGCATAGAGGCTACGGGAGGCAGCAAAACAAGTGGGTTCGTAGAGATCAAACTTGATCAAAGTTTGATCTCTACGATTTCCGATCAAGTTTGATCTCAATGATCAAACTTGATCGGAAAGTTTGATCATTGAGATCAAACTTTCCGGAGAAAGCCGAAGCAGTTTCTAAGGAAACATAGATGCAACCCTAAAGGAAAAAGCCAATAGTTCGACTCTGCTCGTGAGTACCTCCTTCCTATGTTATATGTTTTCCCCTATGTTTATTATTACCGAATTGTGGCATAAGCCGTGCTCATGATTTACGACTCCCATTGCTGCGGTGAATTTGGAAACTGAGTGTGTTAGAGAAAACCCTCTTTGCAAAATCCAGGGTTCAGAGCTCCTGCCAGTTACAATATCTGGATAAGTACCATACCACCCGGCACGTATTGATATAATCACTATTCTCCGACACGCATTGAAGACCAGAGGTTATCCGCAGCATTTTACTGGCAAACGAAGGATAACCAGTACTGTTCTATCTCAAAGGCAGACCAGCCTCTCGCTATTCATTGATTCAAAGTTGTAATTTGCTCGATATCTCAGAAAAGAGGGCGCAGAACTGTATTTGTTGGAATTGCGTTCAAAACACCGATTTCTTTGTACTTAAATGCAATTGAAAAAAGCATAATTCAAGTTAAATGAAGAATACTCGAAGTGCATTCTCCTCTGCGTATAACTATGTGGCCTTTTTCTCTTTGAATTTGTATATAGAACATAATTCCTCAATGTTTTAATGATTTTATCCTTTATTAGCAGTCATTGGTACACGTAATAATTGTTCGATGTGATGGCTCAACTACGCTAAAGCTGTTAGAAACGGGTTTATGCTCGCTTCGCCGCACCGCGTTACTAATTTCGTTTTCACACCCTTTTTACTTCATAAAATGAACGGGTGTATCATCCAGCATCACCATGCATTCGAATTTTAAAGGGCGCATTACGCGAAAAATAAGAATGCTGGAAGTGTGAAGCCATGAGTGAAAGTAATTAAACACCTATTTTACATTCTGAAATGTGTTAACAATGTCATGGTAACCCAGGAGCGGGGGTAAATGAGACTGACGACACAAAGCTTCAAAATGCTTTGTGTTGTCCGTCCGGTTTTTCACCCGCTCCTGGATTTCCATGTAAGTCTTGAAACAGCTCGAATTCGTGATTGCTTTAGTTAACAATGTAGCGTTTAGGCAACTGTTCAAAGTGCGTTTTATTTGGGTTCTGCGCTTTAGAGAGAAAAAAAGTGGTAGTTAACGTCCCAGTTACCAATTTTGAAAAGTAATATATTTTACCTTATTGTTCTGTAGCTGTACTGGTAGTCGTATTAGTAGCTTTATAACACATTATCGTTCCTAAAGTGTGAAAAAGTGATAAAAGAGATTTAAATGCAAACATTTATTTCTCCTTTAGTTTCGTGTGTACTGGGTGACAGGTTCAGAGTAAAGTGGAAGCTCCTCCCACCTCTTTCCACTTTAGTAGAGCGAACGCAGGAGAGGAGGTGACCTCCTCTACAGCGTTCGCTCTGCTAAATTAGAAATGGTGGGAGGAACTTTGCCTAAACTCTTAACCTGTCACTAACTATAGTATGTTCACATTAGGGCCGTCATTTGGACTATGGCCGAGTTCAAATGTATGTACATTTAAAGCAGTGAATTATTAATATCTTTACCACTACGCTTGTCAGGACCCCGCAAAGTAGTATTTTTTATAGATTGAGACTATCGAGAAATCCCTAAACCGTCAGCTGTAAGCCAATATATTCCTGCAGTAAGCTCATTAGCTGTGGAAGTGTAGAATGGTTTAGAATTCCGGAAATAAACACCTTGTTGAGAATATCCGGGCTCATTGTCACGTGAGTTCACGAAGGCTCGGTTGATATCACCGCTCAAGATGCGCAGGAAACCTTGGGCGTCTACCAGGAAAAGTCTTCGACTTCAAGGACTGCCCCACGGGCGCGAAAAGTCTTGAATGCTCTGGAAGAACCGGAAATCAGAAGCTTGCTTCTAATTGACCCCTCTACTCTTGCGGCAAAATGGGGAGGAGTTTGTGGCAATCGATCATCCTGCTATTATCTCTAGTTGCCACAGAACTTGAGCTATACATTTGTTCCTCAAATTTGTAGCTAATTGTATCTTTCTGTGCGCACGCTAGTTGAAAAGCGATCTGCGATGGTTCTCTTTTAAATTTGAGGAAACGAAAATATGCAGAATTCTGTGGAGGGTGCAGAAATCTGATACACAAAGCTCTTGAGGAAGAAAAAAAAGTATCTCTGCTAAAAGTTACTATCTGTTCACGTAAGGAGGGCAAAAAACACCAGTTAGGCCAAGGAAGAATCTGTGCACAATAAAATAACACGTCATGTACAGATATAAAAAAACAGTGCTATTGTGATTTCTTCCAGCTAATTGATGTGCTTTAGAAACTCAACCGTCCAAGTCGTCCGTTATATCCAGTGAGCGGATCTGTTCTCTGGAAACCAATCGCTTTTTATTTGCCCAGCAGATCAATTTAAAAACTAATAAGAGTATTGTACTAAGGGGCACCAGACTGCATGGGGGAAGTGAGACTGCAGATTTCGCACAAAATAAGGTAAAGTGGCTTGACATAAAGCAGCGGCACCTCAATTAATTTTGTTTCATTCGGTTGACATCACGTCAACCGATCGTTACGTATAAAAAGTAAACGTTGCGCACAAGTGTTGTTCCAATCACTTAGCAAAAACACACATAATAAATGTGAACACGTAATAAATGTGATAAGGGGTATTTATTTGTCAAGACGCTTGGCAGCAGCTGTGAATGGGCGCCGCCATAACCAACCTTCAGTTTTTGTTTCTTCTTCTTACATTTACTTCACTTCATCATAACCACAGCAGAGCAGGTTATTGCTATTTTAGGTTGTACTGCGTCCTTCTCCACAGCATTGGCCTCTGTGGAGGCTTGTCAACGCTTGTTTCAGTGACTCGGCATATGGGAAAGACAAGAGAAGGTCAGCAATGGCGGATCTAATTTTGCGCGTGTGTAAAGCGTCTATGCCAAACGCTCATTTTTTTTCTTAATTTTGTTACACAACGAGGCGTGTGTCTACGCGAGCGATGGCGGGATCGGTGGCCGAGTGGGCTAGCGCGCACCAGCTCGTAGCACGTAGAGCGAAAGCTCGCGATGCAGAACCCAGGCATCCTGGGTTCAAACCCCACCCCTGCCCGTTTCGATCTGGGTGAGCATCGTACCGGCGTGCGGTCGTGTATCACTCCTGCGTGGTGCACGTTAAAGACCCCAGGATAGCGGTTGTACTGCACTGGCTAAATTGCTCATCTACAGCGAGTGACTCGTTGAAACTTTGCTGACCAACTACACGCTGTATAAATATCCACACAACCTCTAATTAATATTACGCAAGCGATGTCTCTGTTTATTTAAAATACTTTGCACTCTCCCAATAACTTAAAAGATTATTGTCTATTGAACATCTGTTGCTTGATATAAACAGGAACTGTATAAATAATATAATAAAGTCGAAGGGCTTCGTCGGATTATGCTTCATCGTATACTTCATTGTATATAAACCATCGGTCAATACAATCCTATTCTCCGCTTAGCGAGAATCATTTCAGTAATTCTGCTAACGTTAACGTAAAAAAGTTTCTTATCTTTTTTTTTCTTTGACGTGTACATAGCTCACTTTTTAATGCAACAAGGTTCAGTGGTGGCGTGAAGGTGCACTCATCCTCTTTGGCTTTATTGTACATTTATAGTGACCACGTTCACGACGTCTTAGATTGAACTTCAAAATGAGCACGTAAATGTTGCGGCTCGACAGATTTTCCAACCATCGGTCCAATCTTTGCTCGCTGATTTAAAACTATCACTACTACACCGTGGTAGCTGTGAATAGTAGGAGGAAGCTTCTACAAAACGTCGGCCATTTGAGGCTCCAAATTTCTGAGACTTCGGAATGCGGATAACTTTCACAATTCAGCGCTTCGCGGCTTCGACGGCGTTTCTGTATCTACTTGCGTGGGGGTTTGTACAAACAAAAATGCCTCCTCGTCCAGGCATCTGCTACAGGTGTTCTAGGCGCATTATGTCTGGATGTGACTTATGTATGTCTCTATTTAAACGATACTTGGGAGATGTGACGGAATAGGTCATGCCACTTGAGGATCGGCTTTACCACTAAATAAAATTAAAGAAAAGACAGTTTGAGTAACTTCGATCCTTCAAGCGTGCGTCATTGGTTAATTCCCGAATATTTATATACGTGTTACGAAAAGAGACGAATATTTCGGCTTGCGCTCCATTTCAACCAACATCAACAGAAGAGCCCTTGCTTTAAAGCGCTAAAACAAACGCTTTTTTTTGTATTAGGTACAGCTGTACGAGGTTTTCTCGCCATATACAAAAACTGAAAATACTATTTTTTTTCTTCTTGTAAAACTAGAGTTGGGCTGGAAAGAAGAAGAACTTAAACACCAATTTTGATTGGTCTTTTTATACAACAACGTAAATGTCATATTCAGGTCTCCCGAGTCCTTGAGTTTGAGTAGCCTGGACGTCTATTCTGAGTGCTCTCCGGGCCGTTTGTTCGTTCTTTCAGATGAGACGCACTCCTCCCTTCGTCCTGGGCGTGCCCCTGACCTCCAGGGGAAGCAGTTCCTTGGCCCCCTCGGAGGGGATGGCGCACAAGCAGTCGACAGTCAGCTTCTGTCCCAACACGGCCGAGGCACGACCATTCCATGAGATCCCAGGACCCAAGCCCTTACCCATCATCGGCAACATTTGGAGGTACATGCCGATCATAGGTGGGTGCGTCATGCTTTGTTTGTTGTCTATTCTGCGAAAACTATACTGAAAGTAGCTCGTCTACCTGGCGTTTGACCAGTCGATAAGAAAGTAAAACAATAATTTACACTTGACGAAGTAGAGCGTGGTGCTCTCGATCCATCATCAACTTTTTTGTTCACCTTATATCGGGCTCAATTTTAATAAAGAGATTTTTCTTTTTTTTAATTCTATGGTACCTTATGGCAGCTTGCATTGCATTGTTTATGTTATATAATAAGGCTACAAAATAATTGCAGGTAAAAGTGCTAGGAGAGGGTTTATTACAGCTTTAAAAAAAATATCCTAGTATATTAACAGGAAATTACCGTGGGCGAAATATAACATGTGTGTGCGCACGTGGTCTTTTGTTGCAAATCATTTACAGAACTCATATATTTGGGTACACCTTAAGTATATTACAGATAGGGCAGCCTTCTGATAGACTCGTCAATGTAACCGATCGTTGCAACACTTGAGTGTCACTGACCGGCAGCAAAATGCAAGCATACGTGCTGCCAGTTCAGACTGCTGAACCTTACTCGGGTCGTTCCAGATGGCTCTTGTCGCGAGAAAGGGGAGTTTTAATTCACAGGCACCAAATATTTATCGTTACTATTATTGTCACTAACGGCTTAAAACGTGAAGGAAAAGGCTTGCTGTATTCACGCGTATTGCTCCGGACTTCGTTGTTATGTGCTCACATCGGCTAATGCCGTGACCTTATTGGCTGTGCGGTGATAATAAGATGACTGGGACTCGTCAGGCCCGGCGTTTCCTGAACTGTCAGCGTCTAGGCGGAGGGCAAGTCGTCTGCTTCTTGCGCAGAGGTTGCGGTGAGGTAAGAACGGCGCCGAGCTCTGATTCGCTTTGATTGATGTTGAGATTGAGTGGGTAGACCTCAATGCTAGATGCCTTGAGGGCTACCCCACTATCTTTTTCAATCAGCCAATAAGAGCTCGGCGTTCCGACATCATCTTAACCACCACGCAAAAAGCAGACGAACTTGCGCTCCGCACAGTCGGGTCGTTAAAAATCTGCACTTCTAATGTCTTCTACCTCGTTTCCTCTCGTAGGCGATCGTCCTGCCCATTTTAGGTCCCGGCAAAAAAAAAACGGGTACTTTGAGGGTTTGCCTATGGCTATGCGGTGTGGTATGGTGCCTAGAACGCGTCAAAGACTGGTGCGTCTAGCGTCCTATTCTGGTCATGCATTAAAAGTGGTCCCGAAGTGACAACAAATGACGTCACAAAAGCCGGCCTGTCATGCCGTCGGATGTCGCGATCCTGGCGGTTGGTCGTAGAAGCTCCGGCAAAAAGCACGAGCAAACGCGAGTGTCGCTGTCGTCGCTGCGTCCCAACTCCCGGCTGTCGAAGCTTCCGTGGACTGTCAAGCTGGAGGGCGACAAACTGCAGCACAGGCTTCAGCCAAATCCACCACCGGTGCTGTGACACCTCCAGGATCGCGGCCGGCGATAGCGTGACACTTCTATAACATTATCAGACAGAAATCGAGGGCCCACTTTCTTGGAGGCAGTGAACACACCAGACGGTGAAGCGTTCCAGGTACCGTAGTTGTGGTAACTGGCGTCGCTGTCCGCAATTTCTGTGGCGATTACGGGACAGAATCGACAGACAGTAACGGTGTGGAGACCGGGGGCAGCCAAGAGCTTTAATTGCAACACTCCGCAGTCTTGTTACACCTTAGTTGGCGACAAAGATACAGGCGTTACAGAGGATTGCGCCTCCTGATCTTCCGATAGATGACGCTGACAGTTTGCAAAAAATGGGGCACCTCGATGTCAGCGCCGATTTCAGAATAGAGTCACCCACTGAGTAACGTGGCGCGGCCGCGTTGGTCAGTGGGTGTAGCCACGTTGGAAGCGTCAGATCGACCACTGACTGACCAACCTTCGCTTCTGTCAACGGTCAACGCAGCAGGGCCCCATGGGCTCCTGTGCTTTGTAGTGTGTGGATGTTGTTCGTGGGTGGAAAGCCGCTTTTTAGAGTAATTTGCGGAACGTCGACACAAAATTGCTCCGACGAGAGCAACCGGAAGTTGTCCTTTGGCCGTTGTCCTCAAACTGGGCCATAGTTTTTTTTTTAATTCTAGAGGAACATCTATGTTGAAAAACAGCGCGACAGGGACGAGGACACAAACGAAGAAAGACAGACAAACGGAAAAGGTCCACTAGCTTCTGTTGAGACCAGCCTTGCACTCCTGTGCGGACGAAGACAAAGCGAACGTTAAGACGGTTGGCGTGAGATCCGAACCCTTTGCGCACGTTCGACCTGTGCTGCCTGTAATCGAAGAAGCGTTTCTCTTCGGCTTCGGTTCAAGTGCATTTGAAATGATGTTATCGTCGGAGTGGTGTCTATGGCGTCTACGGCCTCTGCACTCCACAGAAACGCCAGACAATGACCGATTCTTAACGGATGCGCGGTGTGTATAATCTACGTCTCCTGCATGTAAGACAATCCCCGCGTTCAATTCTGAGAAGAGCAACGACGACGACGAGAGGAGGTGGCTGACGTCAGGGCCATCTTCGGAATGCGGAACTACCCGACAAATGGCACGGCAGCTTCTGAGTCCTGCCTTTTATTATATAAGGACCTGTCCTCTGTCGTTTGAGCGCTCCATTTGCCATTACGCTACTACACTCTAAGAAAAAATCAAGGAAAAAGGTAGCAACGCCGCGTCTTCCTCCCTTCTACTGACGGGCCCCCAAGCGGACACGAGAAGAAGGGAGGAACGAGACGTTTTTCTCCTTTTCCAGGCAGGCGGGAGAAAGCTTTCGGCCTCCCAACTCATCTTCTTTCGGTTTGGTTTTCCGAGCACGTCGCGCACGTTGTTTAATAAATGTTGTTGAGTTGATTGAGATTCAACGGCAACGAAGGCCGCCTGTAATTCCGTCTTCTAGTCCAAACGTGCAGAACATTTTGGTTGCATTGACGTTTTTATCACTGATTTTATCAGACGAGCAAGTTCCGGAGCAGTGCCAGCAGCGCTACGTACACTGGGTAAGATGGCCGTCTCCGGATGGCGGGACCCATGCGGAACTGCAGTAGCGTAACGACGCGGAACTGTGTCGACGTTTTCGACGTTATGGAAATCGCAGGAACTACGTCCAAGACAGGCATGTTTCGCTGCCGGCTGCCTGGGTGCCTTCCGTGCTGAGTTCGGTTCTGTTTTCCGATGCCGAGTGCCAACCGGCAATCAACGTGGCTTTGTATTTCTGCGTGTCAGCAACATAGCAGCAACATCGTGATGGCAGTTTTGTGCGTTGTGACAGAGGACTGGAATTATCGCCGATGTGACCGTGTGTTCACGTATCAGTGGTATAACAACAAGATGAGATGACGTAAACTGTCGGGCATCGATGCCGCTGGTCGGGCCGTGATCGGAGGGGGCGGGGTGTCGCAGGTTGGCATTCCGCTTTACATTAAATAGTTTAAGACCACTTGACGCATTAGGTGCAATCGACCGACCTGCGGATAGCCATGTTGGAACGCTGGTCTGAACAGTAAGCTCCTACCGTACAGTGGCCAATGTGACTGTCGGTTGTCTCCTCCCCAAGAGCGACTGCGCTCTGGGGAAAGGACTGAACAGTACGAAACCATGTCGGAAAGTACGTGTATTTAGCTATTTACAGTGTGGAATTTTAGCAATAAAAAAAACTAGTATGCAAAATCGAAAAAAAAATGCTACCCTTTATTTTGCTGTTTAATATACTACGGTTCCTGGAGAAACTGACCTTCAAGTGGTGCGCTGGGATGAGCGCTAGAAGTTTTCGAGCTCGCCACGGCGTAGCTCCGTACACTTTAAGGGGCCCTGCAATCATATTTAAGCGTAAGCGTCTACCTTTTTTGCGGTTTCCACGTCTCTTGGGGTATGGGCAAGCCAGCGGGCACGGAGAGAGCAACTAAATATCAGTGCGTCATATTTTAACCGGACGACGCGGAAACCTCCTCCACCTATGAGGGCGACCCGCGTTGCGGAAAGCGCGCGATATGTGACGTCTTTGGTCCTAGGCTTACTACTGGTCAGAACCGCTAAAATCTTTTTTTTTTTTTTAGTCGAGATACAACATATACGTGTCGCGAACCGTTTCAATTATGTATAAAAGTAGTTTTTGTTCAATATTTTAGGTCAGAAAAGAAACAAATGCAGTTTATAAAGTACGGAAACAAGAAATGACCCGTCGACATACGCTCGGAACCGGTCGGATCCTCGAGCCGGTATACGAAAGCAGCACCGACGCGTACATCCGGGACCTTTCTACGCTCACTGTTTGTCGGCGGCTCATCCCACTAGCCCTTTCTATAGAAAGGGCTAGTGGGATGAGCCGCCGACAAACGGTGAGCGTAGAAAGGTCCCAGAAAAAACGGCGCATAGTATACACGTTTGTAAGTCCGGTCTCAGGGCGCCGCCATCTTCCTCAGTGGGGTGCGCTCTTGGCCGCGGCCATAATCCGATTACGACGCCGACTCGTCCAAGCGCACCCCAGCCAAGCAAGATGGCAGCGCCCTGAAGCCGGACTTACAAACGTGTATAGTATGCGCCGTTTTTTCTGGGACCTTTCTACGCTCACCGTTTGTCGGCGGCTCATCCCACTAGCCCTTTCTATAGAAAGGGCTAGTGGGATGAGCCGCCGACAAACAGTGAGCGTAGAAAGGTCCCGGATGTACGCGTCGGTGCTGCTTTCGTATACCGGCTCGAGGATCCGACCGGTTCCGAGCGTTCCGAAGGCTTTCGGCGCGGGCTTGGCTGGCGATATGGCCATTTGGCAGTATGGCAGCGCGAAGTGGCTCCCGTTCTGAACTGATCTTTACCCCGTGTTTGCTGTCGTTTGTGGCCAATGGAGTGTTATGCCGAATTAGTCTTTAATCGTGCAGCAAATGCAATGCGAGCCGCCCTGGCCGCCCGCTTCATACAGCCCATCCAACACATGCTTTAGTGGCGCCCTCTCGAGCCGTCGACACGGAGTGCGGCAGCCGTGAGCGCTCGATGAGCTCACTACCCCTCCTCTAGTTCACGGCCACTCAAACCAGAACCTACGACGTCATGAAGGAGGTTATTTTTTGCTTGTTTTTGTAGTTCTAATTTGCCTATAACTTTTAAAATAAAGTCAAATCTGAGGAAAGAAAAGTTTCATTAGGTTACTACGTTCAGTGCGCTCAGGATCGGTGCAAATTAAAAACCAGTCAAAAAGTTGTTGCAGGGCCCCTTTAACACCTGCCGCAAGTCGCGGCTTTGACTGCATTCAAGTTGATCGAAATGCGATTTCTCTGCCGTGAAGCATCACTTCCAGCCGAGTGAATATCCGCTCTACAGAGACTAATTCAAGACGGTAATTGCAGCCGTGCGCGAACAGCACAAATAGAAAAAACAAACACTACAATATAAATACTGGCTACGAAGGGCCGTGCGGGAAAACAAACTCGTGGCTTGGAAACACATTGCAGCGGCTCGATTTATTGGCTTTTCAATTAATTACGGCATGATCGAGCGTTTTCTTTTTAATAAGAGATTCATCCCCTGAGCTATTCAAAATACTCTGAGAGGTATGACATTGCTGGTAAAAAATCAACATGCTGGGAATATTTTTTATTGCTTACGCAGTTATCGAGAAATTCCGTACGTTCAAAACAACCAGTATAAAAGACGGAAACGCAGCGCTCGGGTGTAGTGTTCGGTTTAATGTGCCGTTGTATTGATGTTCTTATGTGCCGTGCATGTGTATGCGCTAAATGTATGTTCACCTGATGCTTGTAGTATGCGCATGTGTGCACATGTGTGTACAGTACAGGTTCCCGAAGATCGCGAAGCGCAATGGTGGCTTGCGGAAATATTTTTTGTAGAACAAGAATTGGGCGGTACCTAGCGCCACCTAGCTTAGCTACTTGCAATTACTCTGCTTTACCCTGCCATCTGATGTCAAACGATTTAATCTTCTTTCACGATACGCGATAAACAGCAGCTTTTAGTTTGTTCTTTTGAGAGCGGCTTTTGATTTCGCTGATTGGTTTGCCATTCGTCCGTGATGTGCGGTTTACGAAGGAATTGTTACTCGAGGAACAGCAAAGGTAAGACGTAAAGTGCGTAAAGTAACTGGGTACTGGTTGTCTCCGTTCAACATAGCAATGCTGACGACGAGACGACTGAGTAACTGCTTTCGAAACGCAAGTTTCTGTACCTGAGGGGGGAATCTAGCTTCGGAAATAAACACAGTTCGCGGAAAGCTCGTGTTACGCTTTTAGTTGCTGCTCCTCTCGTCCCGTACAAGAGACGTAGCGTCCTCGTTAAACCTTATTGAGCTCGATTTGCTCGATTCAGAGCCGCCATAATGAGATGCAGGCAACGGATGAACTATTTGGTCCCCTGCTTCAGGGACGAAGGTTTCTCCCTTTCTAAATGAACATAGGTTACAAAACCGTTCCTCCCCTTAGGTTAGTACACTGAGCTTTTTTTCTTTTTTTTTTTCGTCCTGATACTTCATCTACTTTCTCCACTTCGACCAACAAGACCTCGGCAATGGAGAGATGAACGTCAGCCTCAGCCCCTTGGCCTTGGGACGGGGGACACCAAACCCCACCTCGAACGTTTGCACCGCTTTTCGGTCACTTCGAAACGGCAGGGCGTATGCGCAACCATCGGTAGTCTCTGTGGGATGCTATGCTCAGAGACACCGAAGAAGAGGAGAAGACGAGAGCTCACAGGGACGTCAGAACGCCGAGCTGTGGTTCGAATGATTAGTGGGTATACCTAAAGCTAGCTGCCTTTGTCTCCACTATACTCGCCAACGCGTTGGAATGTGAGAACCGAACGCCGGACGTCGGCGTTCCCCCTTCCCCCTTCTAACCCGTTCGAAGAGTGCAGGGGAGACAAAGGCAGCTATCTTTAGGCCTACCCACTCATTATTCCAATCAGAGCTCGGAGTTCTGACGTTACCGCGCATGCTCTCGCATCCTCGACTCCCTTCGTTTCTGTGCCTATTCTTGGCGATATTCAAAAAAGACGGCAAAACATCACCGAAAAGTGTGTACCTGGTTGTTTTCTAGCTTCACCTTGCACGAAAACAATGGTGTCGTGCTTTGTACAGAAATAAATAAACTTGACAAGCAATGGAACAATTTGAACTCGTCGCGGCAAGACGAATGCACCGAGAAAGTAAGGGAGAGGAGGGAGCGAAAGCGCGCGGAGGCTTCAGAACGCCAAGCCCTGGTTGGAAGAATTAGTTGGTAGGCACTCGTCGAACGCTTCCAAACGTGAATCGCTGGCGTTCGAAGTTTGGTATTCGCATTCGAAGGCGTTCGATGAGTGCAGTGGAGGCAAAGGCTGCTAGTTTTAGGTCTACCCACTAATCATTCCTACCAGAGCTCGGCAATCTGACTTCCCCGAGCGCTCTCGTCTCCTCCTCTCCCTCGTTCTCTCTGCGCAAACGCTTACTTGTTTGTCAGCTTTCTTTTCCCTCTCTGCTGTCGCCTTCTTTCTCATTCTTTCTATTGGGGCCACCGATGTCAGCGCTTACTATTTGCCACGTTCTGCCGCCGTCTTTACCGACCTGCACTGGATGCGGCGCTAGCATTGAGACACCCTAGAGGAAAAGGCCCGTTACAAAGAAGGTGTTGAATGAAAACACTGAGAGGTGATTCGCGGCTGTTCTCCCTGACGTCTGCAGGAGACATGGACATCACCCGGATGCATCGGAACGCTCAAAAGCTCCTCAACCGTTACGGTCCACTGGTGCGCGAGGTCGTGGTGGGCGATCGGGTGGTGGTGCACGTCTTCGATCCTCGGGACATGGAGCAGGTGTTCCGCAACGAAGGCCGCTACCCGGCGAGACTGTCCCACCGCGCGCTTCTCAAGTACCGCAGCAACAGGCCCCAGCAGTACAGCGGAGGAGGCCTCTTTCCTTCGTGAGTGCAGTCTTTCTTCCCTCCAAAAATAACGGGTTTTGTTTTATGTAGAAAACCTGCCACTTTAAAAGGTGAAAGTACCTGTAAGACATGAAAAAATGTAGAATCGCAATCAGTGAGCCCAGTGCTTCCCCACCATACCTCGGCAAACCTCACTCATGAGGGCCCTCACTCACCCTCACTCACCCTCATCTTCACAGGTGAGGTGAGGGTGAGTGAGTTTCTGAACCAGGAAAATTCATGAGTGTGAGGGTGAGTGAGGGCCGTGAGGGCCGTGAGGGCGGTGAGGGCGGTGAGGGCGGTGAGGGCCGTGAGGGCCATGACGGCCATGACGGCCATGAGGGCGGTGAGGGCGGTAAAGGGTATGAGGGCCATGAGTGCGTGAGGGCAGTGACATGAGAGGCGTGAGGGCCGTGAGGGCGGTGAGTGCATGAGGTGTGTAAGGGCCATGAGTGCGTGAGGGCGGTGAGTGCGTGAGGCGCCCTTCAGATCGAGCATCTTTCTCAGCAATTTTGGTGTTAATGGCGGGTTGTTCTCTAGCTTTCCCTAGATCGACACGAATTGCTGAGATCGGGTCGGGCTCGAAATAAGCAAGCAACTCGGAGCAATTCGAATACGTTTGAAGCGGCTGCATACAATCAGGGACGCAAAATTTTCACGTGATACCTCGTGCCCGTGATGATGACACCGAAAGACTTGGTTCTGGTTTGAAATCGATCGTTTTCTTGGAAATAAACTGTTTCAGAAAGGTGCATTAGTATTCTTAACGATATTTAAATGGATAAAAACACGATTATAACGCGTAATTGTGTCTAAATAGTGCAAGAAAAATAAAATTTTATGATGACGATGGCAAATTGCAGCAATTGGTTGCTGCTTGTGATCGCGGGCGGCCAGTGTTGCTGGCGTTGCGACGTAAAGTTTCTGGGCCAAATTGCCCCATCTGAAGCTGGCCTGAGTGGCGTGAGGGCCATGAGTGCGTGAGGGCCATGAGTGCGTGAGGGCCATGAGTGCGTGAGGGGCGTGAGGGGTGTGAGTGGCGTGAGGGCGGTGAGTGGCGTGAGGGCGGTGAGTGGCGTGAGGGCGGTGAGTGGCGTGAGTGGCGTGAGGGCCGTGAGGGCCGTGAGGGCCGTGAGGGCCGTGAGGGCCGTGAGGGCCGTGAGGGCCGTGAGGGCGATGAGGGCGATGAGGGCGGTGAGGGCGGTGAGGGCCGTGAGGGCCGTGAGGGCGGTGAGGGCCGTGAGGGCGGTGAGGGCGGTGAGTGGCGTGAGGGCGGTGAGTAGCGTGAGGGCCATGAATGAGTGAGGGGCGTGAGGGCCGTGAGGGCGGTGAGTGCGTGAGGGCCGTGAGGTTCAATGAGGGTGAGTGAAGGGCTGAAGTTGAGTGTGACTGTGAGGGTGACTGTGAGTGAGGGGCTGAAGGTGAGTGTAGCTGTGAGGGTGAGGGTGAGTGAGGGGCTTAGGTGAGTGTGGCTGTGAGGGTGAGGGTGAGTGAGGGCGACCTAAAATGCCGACCTCTGTTCCCCACACTGTACAACCCTGCAACCCAACAGAATGTAAACTATAACCTCGCGACTCCTCAACACCCCTTCCCCGGCTTTTCGCGATGCCACAAGCTTTTTGGTTTTAGCGCATTAAATTGTGTTTGTTATGTAATACAGTCAAAATCAATCAGTTGCCCATCAGAAACATAAAAACAAAAACGGACGATTTATTTGTTCCTTTTTTCTCATAGATGCAACTTTAGAGCTGGCGGCGAAATACTTTTATGTTATTCTTTTTCAACTTTTTATTTATGGTTATACATCGCTTGTGGTTCTCCTTAGGGCCGCTGCCTTTGGGAGTACTATCGGAAACAATATGAGCGTGAACGCGCCTCCGCGTGTCGCCGCTACCTGAGGCGCCGCGCTGCGGCGCCGTTGTGAAGTTTTGCGCATGCGTGTAGAAATCCTGTCGCTGTTCTCGCTTTGACTGCTAACCCCCGTCTGTCGTCTGCTATGCGCGCGCTGGCGGCCGCTCGCGCTGTCGTCTGCTATGCGACTCGTGTATTTCCGTCACAACTCAGACAAACGACTTAACATAATTCACAAGTTTCCTGTGCGATAACGCAATGCCCGCATTTGATACGTGATAAGTAGCTGGCTTCTTTCATTGGGTCGAGATACAGCGACAGCAGACAAATGGAATGAAGCAAGATATCTGCAAGGCTTAGCGTTCAACTACGGTGAGCCCGGAAAACATTCAGTTGAGTGAAAAATGGCTAGAGTTCCTGACGACGAACGGATCAACATAGTTGAGCTGTCCCTCCGAGGCTACTCTCAGAGGGCTATATCCAGCATGGCTGGAAGACCGCTGAAAACGGTGAACTGGATAATACAAGCATATAGGGACGAGCTGTCCAGGGCAAACACAACTCGCGTAGAAAGCGCGTGTGTCCGCCGGAGCACGCAATGTTGTGCGGCAGACGACAACACGAGCGGACGCCAGCGCAAACACGAGTCGCATAGGAGACGACAGCGTGAGCGGCCGCCAGCGCACACAGGAGTCGCATAGCAGACGACAGCACGAGCGGACGCTAGCGCGAACACGAGTCGCATAGGGGACGACAGCGTGAGCGGCCGCCAGCGCGCACAGGAGTCGCATAGCAGACAACAGCACGAGCGGCCGCCAGCGCGCGCATAGCAGACGACAGACGGAGGTTGACAGTCAAAGCGAGAACAGCGACAGGATTTCTACACGCATGCGGAAAACTTCACAACGGCGCCGCAGGGCGGCGCCTCAGGTAGCGGCGACAAGCGGAGGCGCGTTCACGCTCATATTGTTTCCGATAGTACCACGTTCGCGGCGAGACGCTCTACCGCGAAGCGGGTTCGTAATCGCGTGGCATGCTACTCGTTCAGCGCAAACAGACACCAGTCACGTTGGTAACGGTGATAAACTCTGTTCATTTACAATGAAACAAATAACAACAAAACAGCGGCTATATGCTGGTGAACGCCGTCGGTGTGGAGATCGCCCACGGCCGAACGGTCGTTCACAAAGATACAAAGGACGGGGAAAACGCTCACCGGTGCACCGGACGGTTCTCCGTTGTCGCCGCCGCCCAATCCCACGAAGAAGAGAGCGGAGATACTGCTGTCCGCTGGTTTTAAGATAACGGCGGGGCGAAGTGTCCAATCAAGGAACGACACGTCGATCTCCTTTGTGCGGGGGTTCGTTACGGAAATCGCCCCAAAGGGGGAGAGGAGGAAGCCACTCACAGTGGTAAGCAGTGCCACCTCTCGCTACGCCAGCGCGGCCGCCACGGCGCGCCAAGACGCTGACGCGACAGGATGTTGAGGGATCACAATCCCCACACGCTTCAGCTGACGTCCAGACGCAGCCGATGCTACCAGCGCGTGCATGTGGCACTGGACAGTGTCTGCACATAGCCTCCTCTATACTGACAAAGCCTGGCAGAGCGCTACGAGACGCAGCCACGCAGCCGCCGAAATTGAAAAGGTAGAGTGGCAGACAACGGATGAGAGGAGAGCCAAGTGACGGGCGCCCCGCTGCGGCGAGACGCTGAAACACACTTCTCCCGAGCGATGGAATGCCCACTCGTGCTTCTCGCGTTGCTCGCGCTATGGCTTCTTTTATCGTCGGGTTTGAGAGCCATGTTTCGAATCCTCGCCGCTGCAAAAGCTGTGCGCTGAATTCCAGGTTCCCTGAGAACTGCTCTGTTTTTTCTGATTGGGCAGGAGATCAAACTACAGGAGTTGCTTTACCGAGCTTGTTTTGCCAAAGCCCGGTGTTTAGTAACACAGCATAACAAATAAATTGAACCTCGCCCTGTATCCCTACTGCGTGATGCAAGACCCCAGGCTAGCGGTTGTACTGCACTCGCTAAATTTCTCACCTATAGCTGGGAGACTCGTCGCCCGTTGAGGCAGACTAGGTTGTAAGCTGTATAAATATACACACTACCCAATTTTTTTTTAACCTCGCCTAGCACGGCTTGGGCACGAGCGTTTCGTTCTGACCAGTGCTTTGGTCGCACGAGGAGCGGCCTTCGAATCGTCATCTTCGATTTCTCTGATCAAAAACCAACAAGAAAAGTTGGCTTGTTGTCCCCACAGCTGGAGCGTTCCGCTAGAGGCGCGGCTGTTCGATCTCCTCCCCAATCCTCGCGCCCCAAATCTGCGACTGGGCACAGTATGGCTCCGTCGTCGAACTGCCAGGCTTTGTGAGTATTGAGGAGGCTATGGCCTGCACTACACGAGCGCGCGTTCTTGGCGGAGACGCTAAAAGCCAGGAGCTCGCACTTCAAACTTTTTTTTCGAGCTCGTCCGCTGCAAAGGGAACAGCCGCAGAATCATAATCATCCTCATCATCATAAAGAACGAGTGCTCTCAGCATCAAATGCAGCTCGGGAAATCGGGGTTCGCTCGGGCCATCTACTGTTTGCCGCCGATCTAGGCGAGCTAGGTTTTGTTCGTCCGTGGAAACCGGTAGTTCTCTGATTGGATTTGGATTTCCGAGTGGCTCCGACGTTGGAACCACGTTCTAACCATTTAAACGTATTTTGTAAACACCGTATTCGCGGATGGCGTTGTGCCTTGGTAGTGCACTAAGCTTGACTTTGCAGTTGCGTCATATGAGTGTAGATGAAGTCGCTCACGCAACGGACGCCTTTACATCATGTGCCGGCTTCGGCGGCGTTCATCGCTTATCCGTCGCACGTACTTTGGTGCCGACAAAAACGCGGCAGCCTGTTGTAACATATTTTTACAGCGCAAAATTCGCTGTTCAAATTTGTGCAGCCTTTAAATGCGACCGTGTTGCCATTTTCAGCGCTTGTACGTACGGCGCCTGCTTTGCTCGCTTTCGAAATCGGCGAACATGCGCGTGACCAGCTGCGAAGATGGCACGTTGAGCTGTTCGGCCTTCACAGCCCCGGAGTTTGCAAACAAAAAGCTCTTGGCCGGTGCGATCTTCGCCGTTCGTGCGTATGACGCGTGC